TTTAGTGAGGAAAATACATTCTTCTAACCCAATTATCGAGATTCACATGTAACAAATCTTGAAAATTATTAAGGTAAAATGGCGCCTGCTTCAGTTTTATATTTTTACATATTGTAGATTTAAATGTCCTCTTTTGAATATCAATAGTTTAATTTGGGTGATAATTTCTAAGAGTTTTTTTAGCGCAGTACACCGATGAACTTCTTTCTCCAAATCGCGACTTGTCTTTTATTGATTTGGTCTACTGCACATTACGCCTGCTTCAGACAATTTTGATATTTTTACATCTTGTAGATTTAAAGGACCAGATTTACCATGAGAGTGATTTTGGACAGCTGTATTTTTGGTCACGGGTATTTCCCAACCATACAATGAACATTTTATATTAAAACAATATCTTGACTTCAACAAAAGTTCATGAAAAAAGCATCCCATTTTGATAATAAGATTAGCCATGAATTAGTAACCCACCTTCAATAATATTGACCTTATTGCTGAAAAAGATGACCATGATTTTTCATATTCTTTTTCAATATAATAATTACACTGTAATGTATCATTCACTTCCTATAAAGGGTATGTAGATTGAAAATGTAATATGAAAGTTACATGAGAATTAAGATTATCCAATGGGAAATCCCCTGTTATGGAGTTCGCCCTGTCCATCCTTGAAGGTTCTGTTTACCTATGTGCCATCTTTGAGAAAATCGATGCATTAATAAAGGAGCATTTGTAAATGTATGATTGTGTTGACACCTAATGAATGCATGACCGTTTGGTAGGTCATTGGAAACCAAGGTAATCCATTATTTATGTGAGGGGATTTAATTGATCAATACCAGAGTATCCAATGAAGCATGAATATTGACTGGCTTTTACTGCGCCTACGGAAAACTGATGTACAGTAATGCCTTGGTCACATTTACTCCGATTTTCACGACGGCGCCCGGCCGATTGAGTATTTTGTTCAAAATTGAATACAATACAGTATTGAAAATAACACTCAATCGGCCGGGAACCGGCCCATGAATCGGAGCATAATGTGACCAAGGCATCTAGCTACATGTATCTATGAATGTGAAAATGTGTTACAACCCGCTTTTCAGATTAATTAGTAATTATAATTAATTAATCAAATAATAATTTATATAAATTAATGTAATAATAATCCAAGTGTCTATAGGTATGAGTAATACAATTATCTCGATGTAAGATCTTCTGTCTAGAACTTAACATAACCTAAATGATTTATAGCAATAGAATGTACTGTTTCACCTGTAACAGGTTGGAACTGGTTATGTATTTATAGTAACAAAACACGATTTTCTGTCAAAAATATAATATTGTTGTTTATTATTATCCAATCAAAACCTAAATACAATTTCAAATATCTGCAAGATAAGCGAAATTTAAGCCCAAATTATAGTAAATATAAGCAATATTTTGACAGAATGATCAATGTAGCTCTACCTGTATATAAACAAGTGCCGAATTGCAGTCGGGAGACTCGAAATTGGAAATAATCAAATGCTAACAAAACCACGGAAGGAAGCTAAAACAAAATGGACTTAGGAAATATTCGCTACTTTTGGACTTAGAGAATTTCGGCAACATTTCGGACTTATTAAATGTTTGGCTGCAACTCGGACTTAGGCACATGGAATCAAGAACAAGGATCGGGAAATAAAATCATAAGGAACACTACATCTACTGCGTTCGTTGATTAATAGCTGCGACCTGTGAGTACCAGAGACCCACAAGATCCTGGAAACAGCCCTGAATGATTATCGGTCACGCCTGGCCGGTGACAAATGTATGAAAAGGGGATGTATTGTGAAACTGATGTTGGTAACAGTTCTACTATAATTTGTTTACAGTCATATTTTCAATCTCTGACAATACCTCATGTGATATTTTAACTCTGACATTGTAATACCACATGAGCTACTCTGACATTACAATACCACATGCGTTACTCTGACATTGCAATATCACATGAATTACTCTCCCATTGTAATACCACAAGAGCCACTCTGCTATTGCAAGACCACATGAGTTACTGTAACATTGCAAAACATTATAAAACCACATGAGTTGCTCTCACATTGTAGCTACTCTGACAATACCACATGAGTTACTCTGACATTGCAATACCACATGAGTTACTGAATACTGGTCACCTCGTAATACCACAAGAGCTACTCTGGTATTGCAAGACAACATGAGTTACTCTTACATTGCAATACCACATGAATTACTTTACATTGTAATATCACAAGAGGTACTCTGACATTGCAATACCACATGAGTTACTCTCACATTTTAATACCACAAGAGCTACTCTTTGGGAAGTTCAATTGAGTCTCATTAGGTACCAATGAAAAATAAAATGACCCATTGCATTGAATTTTATTAGTGATTCTGTTGTCTTATCAAAGTTTTCAAGACTCAGTCAGATTTTGTAGTACTGAGACTGGCAAATATATATACTTATTAAAGACCCATAGATCTTAAAACGTATTAAGGTAAAATATGGTCACCCCTGGGCCAAAAGAGCTTAATATTGAAATTTCAATCCTTTTTTACTGAAAAATTACATGGGCTAACCAAGCTAGGCTATTTATTTTGTCAGTGATAAACATTTAAACCTCTATTATTAAAATTTAAGACTTTTTGTAATCATATTTTAAAAATACATTACTGGATGTCCAATATCTACCCCTTAAATGATGAATTCTTGCTAGATAATTGGGTAAAAAATGTATTTTTCTCGCTAAATACACTTCTAAAATAGGTTTTACACATTTTCAAGACTCAAAGCAATCACCAAATGAAATCATTTAAAAAAGACCTTAAAACCATTTTTATAATGTAGCCCCTACCCACATGATAGGGGAGGGGATCAGGGGCTAAAACATACAGGAAGACCATCCCGCATCACATGACCTGAAATAATTTTTCACTTAGATCCTGTGCCAAGTTTGTTGCTTTTCTTGAAAAATATGAAGAAGAAAGGGCTTATTTCTGTCAAATGAGCTATCAAACACGTTCAATTGTTTGACTGTTTTGAACTATCATAATGGTCATGTGAATTATGTGATCTCATAATGGATGATTGTTATGCTTCATTAAAAGTGACTGTTAAACCCTATGAATGTTTTGTCAAATATCCAAAAGAAAATTGATTTTGTCCCTTCTAATATGTCCAGACCACACACAGGGTGTAATTTGTTGATATCTTAGTAAAATAGAATCATGTTTAGTCTGACCAAAGGATCTTACAAACTTAACATAACTTTTTATCAGTTTGAATTTTATATTTCTGAAGATCTCTGCATCTATTGCACTCCCTAATGCCTGGGTCACATTTGCTCCGATTCATCGGCCGGCGCCCGCCCAATTGAGTGTTTTGTTCAAAATTGTATATTTTACCAGAAAAGCCCTATAGACAAAGACAGAGAATACCCGCGTCATTTGCAACTTCAATGTAGTCTGTATCCCTTTTAAAGAAATACAGGCTACAGTATGGGGGTAGGGTAGTATGGAATTGACAATGCTCACACAAACTGACAAGAAAGAGACATATCACCACACCACCAAGCTGACAATATTGTACCATTTTTAGGAACAGTATAACAAGTATTAATTGTTAAGTTGCTAGACAGCACTAAGACTGATATTTTATTTAATATTATCATAATGTTAATATCATAACAGTTTGTCACATAAATGAATAGATTCGATCTACTAAACCAAATACATGTAATATGATCAACTTTTAATGTTTATGTCACCACCAACTGTATTGTAATTAAATTTTGAAGACGATTGGTGCATATTTAACAAAATGCCAGCACCGGTCCTGTTACCTTTGGAACACCCTGTATTACAGCACATATGGCGTCTGTAACAAATGGTGGTGACATTTTGCATAATAATGCCTTGTTAAATCATGCATATATTACACAATACATGTACTTGTTGCATCTACAATTCAACAAAAAATGCTAGGCATATTCTATTCTAGCGTCAAATTTCCTGATCAGATCATATATGTATAAAAAACAAAACAACTTGACAAAATTTCATTACTGTAAAAACTACATTAGTTGAAATTATATACAGAGATACTACTTGGTAACTGTGTTAAGTTCTAATCAAACTTAATTGTTGGATACTATATACTATATCTCTAAAAGTATCCTGCAGTAAAACATGTAAAGTGGAACAGCTCTGCAAGTGGAACACTATTCAGTCACATCAACCATGAAATTAATATCAAATGAACCTATGTACATCTAATTGGGATATCTCTTCAGTGGAATACTGTTTTCATGTACCAAAGGTTTTCCACAAACACATGTTTTACTGTATATAAGCACATTTTCAAGGTACATTACTTCCTTTTTTTTATTATATAAATTACAATTACAAACATTTATATAACATACATTTACATAAGAGTCTAAACTACTAATCTAGTACACTATACATCAAGTTATGATTGATTAAAATGATTCTCAATTAAAATATAACATTTCACAAACATATGCTATTCTTGGTTATGTTACATACAAAATGTATAAAATGCACATGAAATACTGAGCATGTAGTTACCTGGTTATGTGTAGATGGATTATGTGTGTGTTATACATGTATTGTTTGAGTAGATGGATTATTTGTGTAGTCAAAAAGTAATGAATGCGTCATATTTGAGTACTTTTTCTGTAAATACAAGTACTCTCATGCAATAACTTTTATACTTCGAGTACCACATACTTGTCTTTAATTTGGTGAGCATTTTAATTTGCAGTTTGGCAAATGCAAAAAAAGTCAGATTCAATACCTGCCAAAATGCCCTGGAATTTTTGTTCGGCAGGCTTCTGATTACAAGAAATACACCAATCAAATTACTGTATATAGCCCAGATATCAGTTACACTGGGGTCCGTTTTTGGAACCATCACAACCTATGATTTGGTTGCAAGTCATTGTTCATCAAAAAAGTAGACAATGGTTTTCTCGGTAATTAAAACGAGCCCCTCTATACTATCTAGTAATCTAACATGAAAAGCCGCCAGATTGAATAGATATGAGATTTATCCTATTGGAAAACCACCAAATTAAAGACACCAATAAATCTGATATTCCAAAATAGCCAAATTAAAAACAAATACTGTATTATCTTACACTTCATTCCCTGGCACCTTTTTAAATTCAATGGTAATTTTCTCAAATCACCCCAGTTAAATAGTCTGTCAAATGAAGAAAAAATACAAGATTAGATATTTATCTACTATATGTGGATTATATAATACTTTTTGTCCATTCATAATCAAAATCGTTGGATGCATAATAGAGGTTATTCCATGATTATTCTTGATGCTTGCTGGATGTTTCAATTGTGTTCCCATGAAGTCAGTTCAAAACTTTTTGACTGACCTAAGTATTTAGATAAAAGTTCCGAAGTTCCAGATATCCATCTTATTGTCAAGACACATCCTTAATCAGTGTTTGTTGTACATTGTTCTCTATTGTCGGGAGTATATGGATGTGAGACAGCTTGTATTGAAATACTGGCACATTTTGCATTGAAACATACTGTCTAATAATGTCATGCATCATGGATGGTAAGAGATATTCCATAGAGCATGCGAATGTGTTATGTTGGGAAACAGCCAATTCAAAATGAAAGTCTACACACTGGATGCTACCCCATTGTGACATCATTATTTCACTCTGTTTCCTGAAAAAGATCATAAGTTAAAAAGTTTAAATCAAGTTATCAGATACATAACCCTTAGACTAGGATTCAATCAACCAATCCGAACACAGTATTTCATATAACTGCAGTGTATATATCATATAACCAATCACTGCATCTTTCTGTGGTTGTAAAGTTGACAATTTGGCTCTACAGATTGAAATTGATGCTTTGCCAACTTGACTACAAATTGTAACCAATAAGACACAGAGTCACTCTGAGCCTGGTTGCAATTTGAACACTTCGTAGCTGAATTCTGATGACTTTATCTGATTGAATGAAGCTAGATGAAAGTAGTATCAAGGGCGTGTTTAAGAACTTACCATCTTTTAGTGGGGCCCTGGGGGAGGATGGTGTATCATTCTCTTTCCCTGAGTGCCGGAATGCCTTTGATGGATCAAACTTAAGTCGTGGTTGATTGTTAGCTGATGTTTTCTCAGCTTCCATATTTCTGATCTGACGTTTTAACTTTGTCTCATTATCTCGCAATTTCTGCATCTCCTATTAAGAATAGAGTGGAAATAGTATTAGAGATCTTTACATTTGTATATTCAGATTTCACTTTGCTTATAAGCAAATGGTAGATGATGACAAGTAACATCAAATATTTTTTACGGAAAATACTTTTTTAAATATACAAATATAATTTAACAGCAAGTCAAGGAGAGGCAAATCTCAACAAACAATATCAAACAAAAATGGCAGGCATCATTTTGAGTATTTCATGTCAGAAACTGCACAGCTATGAAAGATGATATTTCCAGGCATCTTAAAATTAACACATTCTTTTGTATGTATGAGGAATGTAAAAGGCAGAACAATTGCAAACTAGGTGCAACTTTACACCTTCTAAGATATGAACAAGCAGTTTTCGGGTATCTGAAATATTGTTTCTCTGAAAGGACAAATGGTTGAACTGACAGACAGAAGGACAGACTAAGTGTTTCACTTTATCCTACCAGATTCTGCTCATTGGGATAAGTAAAACCTGTGAATGTGGTCTCCTCTGTAAAGTTAATGAATGAAAAATGATCTACTATAGATGGGTTCCACTTTACAGGTTTTATTGTATTACTGTTCACCATACTCACATGTTTGAGGTTGTTATTTTCTTCTTTTATCTTTAGCACATGGTGGATTTTTTGTTTCTGGTTCTGATGGCCCAAAATACGTGCATAATCTGAGCTCAGTTTTGAGATTTCCTTCTGGGCATTCTGACTCTGACCCAAGAGTGACAGTCGCTCAGCCTCAAAGGAATCCAATTGTTCCTAAAAAAGACAAACAACATAACACTTTGCACTCAGTTGTGTTAATGGGAAATAATAACAAGGCATTAACATGTAAATGTCACCACCTACCATTTGTTACAGACATTGAATGCTGACTGCCGAACACCAACCACTGAACAAGGTCCAAAAAGAAATTAGAAACCACAACAATATGTCACCATTTATGTTAAGTATATGTCACCACTTGGGTTAAGTGGTGACATAAAAAGTAGGCTTTGATCAATTCCTCATATCTGTATTGTATTTTGTTTACCACTATATTCATAATATCTAATTTTTATATTCCATATTTTACGTATTTACACTTGGAGACGAGCCAGAATTCGCTCTGAGGAGCCTTGTGTTCTTTTATGTACACTGATACACAGACATACAATAGGGGAATCAGCAAGGAATAAAGTTATGACAGTAAATACTTTCAAACACATAAGATGCAAGACTCTGGATGGAACTCAAAAATGACAATATTTTGGACCAACTCAGATAATAAATCTTGTACCCCAAAAGTTAATATAAGTAAATGGATCTAACCTGGAATGGAGCAACTTTCTCTTGCAACTGTTCGTAGAAGTTCTTCCACCTGAAAAATTTAAGAAATATTGCATTTGTAGTTTGTAAATTAGGGAATACTGTCTCTCAAGAATCTAAACATAAATCCTAAAAGCATTCATGAATTTTGTAAAAGCCTACATGTATTAACATGTTTATGTAAATGGTAAACTTGCATTCCGAGTATTCTTGAAGACCTGGATTAATTTCTGAAAATAACAATTGTCTTTATTCTATCTGAGATTCCTAAAAGACATGAATATTCATGAAATCTTAAACAAAAATCTGAAATCAAAGACTTACTTTTCCACCTCTTCCAAGAGTTGTTCTCTCTCATCCTCTGACAAGCCTTGGTTCTGCTCATCAAGGAGTTGGCGTATCTGGTCCTCGTAGTATGTCACCTTCATCTGTAGTTCTTGGACCTTCTTCTCCGAGTCTTTCACCTAAAATAAAAGGCACATTAATATAATAGAAAATGGAATTCACTAGAAGGCAGTTAGGTACAATAAAAGGCAGTTTAGTGTACAATATTAAAAGGCAGTTTAGTATACTATAGAAGGACATTTAATGTACAATAGAAGGCAGTTTAGTATACAATAGAAGAACCTTTAGTGCACAATAGAAGGCACTTTAGCATACAATAGAAGGCAGTTTAGTGAACAATATTAAAAGGTGAATACAGTTTGAAGTTGCTAATACTTTGAAAATCTTCTTTGTACAGTGTATTTTTGGTGAACAGAACAACCTGCAACTCATAACATGATAGAAACCTGTCCTATACATCCAAGTTTTTTTCATGTAACAAATGTGGCAGGGTTGAATGTAAAGGTCTAATATAAAATGATTTCAATACTTACCTTATTCTCACATGTGAACCTTGTGGTTTGTAGCTCTGTGGTTGTAGCAAGTAGCTTCTGTTCAACAGTCTGAGTTACTGTCTCCATCTGAACTATCTGATCTTCTGATAATTTCTGCAGCTCCTCTATTTCTTTAGTTTTATCCTGAACAATTTTTGTAAGTTTGGCTCCATATTTCGCATGAAGTTCTTTGGTAATCTGCTCGTGGTCTGTTTTCTGGTTTTTCAGTTCATTCTGGATTTCACTTAATTTAGTTTTGTATTTCTGTTCCATTTGAATTTGATTTTTGGTCATGTTTTCAAGTTTTTCATCATTTGATTTACTCAAAGTGTCTTTTTCTGCAGTCAAAAGAGCTTTTTGCTCATTAAGTGAGGACAATTCCTTTTCATTGTTTTTTATTTGTTCTTTCAATTTGGCCACTATTTCCATATTACCTTCCTTCAAAGTTTCGATTTCCTTGAGCTTTGTATCATATTTTACTTGTATAACTTCAGTTTGTTCTTGAATTTTACACAAATTGGTTTTCAATTCACTTTCTCTGGATTCTGCCATTTTCTGTTGTGTTGTCATGGTGTCCTCCATGTGTTTGATTTTATCTTCCATATTTGATTTTTCTGTCGTTATCTGTTCCTGAAGCTGCTCGCATGTCTTGCTTTTGTCTGCCAATGCTTGCTCGGACCTTTGTTTGTACCTGAAAATAGGAAATTGCTTTTATACATTGTTCATGAATTAATTGATGAAATCAGACTGCTGTATAATGCTTCCTCTACTTCATCATCAGGTATATTTTATTTATATTTTAGTTTATTTTCCACAAGACCTAGAACCTTTCACTTATAAATGTTTCTACATGTAATTTATTTGAAGTGTTTTATTTAATGTTCCTGTCTGTTAGTATATAATAAGAATATTATTGGCATAATAAAAAGAAACAAGGCATTAACATGCAACATATCACCACTTGCCATTTGTTACAGACACCAAACACACAGACCGCTGAATGCCAAACACAATCCACAAAAAAGTTGGAGAAATATGTCACCATTTCTGGCAGTGACATGAAAATAAATAAATTTTGATAGATACTGATGTGTCATTTTCAAAAAAAAATCATTTAATTTGAGAGAGATAATGATGTTGCAAGGGAGCCTTTGGGATAACATACCCTTCATACTGGACCTCAGCTTGAGACAGCTTCAGTTGACTCTCAACAAGCCTTCTGTAAATATATGAACTACAAGTTCAACCACATGTTCAAGATTGCAAAACAAACAGGAAAATCTTCATGTTAAAGCATAATTAACTGTGTTTAATTTTCAAAAATGACAATGCTTGATAAAAATGTAAGTGATATTTGATGGAAGCCAAAAGTCACAGGGTGAATCAGGGCACAGGGCATGTTTAAAATGCAAACCAGAAAGTACAAGTCATTATATTTAATACTGCTCCATACTTGCTATTGTAATAGTTATGTAACAAAATCCAAAATATCAAAGGTCAACTCAATATACCACAAACCAAAAGGCACAAACCAGAATAATATTGCTCATTACTCGCTATAGTCCTCCTTTTACTTGCTTTAATTATATAATCCAAGCCCAATATCACAGGGCAATTCAACATACAGCAAACTAAAGGCACAAACCAGAATAATATTGCTCCTTACTTGCTATAGTCCTCCTTCACTTTATTAAAAGATGTCTCCTGCTGTTGCAGCTGTTGGTTGAGCTCCTCTGAAATGTCCATTGATCTCTTATTGGCCTCAACTGTCTCTTGGCGGCAACTAGAGATCTTCTCTTCCATAGTCTTCAATTTACTGCTGGACTCAATCTTCAACCTTAACAAGACACACCGTGACATTTACAAATATATTACAATGGCTGCCATCAGTGATCTCCCCAGCATTAAAGCAAGTGGGCACAGCACCCACCTGAAATTTTGGAAATAGGCTTACACCCACCTGAAAATCCATTTGCACCCACTTGAAAATGAGAATAAGCCACACGGTGAACAGAATCGCACCCTTGAACAGAATACACTTTTCAGGATGGAAAATCCAAAATGGCCACCTTAACATTTACCCAGAATGCCGAAAAACTAATCAGTTCTAAACTTTTATAGGTAGAAACATCCCTGAGAATTTCAAATGAATCCCTCAAACGGTTTGGCTGGAAACCTGTAGACAAGATTATTCGGGACGCCCGCCCGCCCAACCGCTTGGCAAACTGATTACAATATAGCACCTTAGGGTGCGATAAAAATTATGAAAAATGGTCATATTTTGACCAATTTTGGTCTGAATTGTGAAAATGAGAATTTTGCACCCACTTGAGAAAATATCCTGTGGAGATCACTGGCTGCCATGTAATTTATCAAACATGCCTGAAAATTGTAAGTCTTCTTTTGCATATGATAATGTTAAAATTTCATGTTGAACATGTACACAGTTTTCCTGGTATTTTTGTGGTCCCCACCCACAGAGACTCATGGCCATAAGCACTAAACAACAATATAAAAACTTTGAAAAAGTGTGATAATGAGGTTTTTAATTTTAATTCAACCCCAGACAACTTGTTATGAAATAAAATGATGTTAAGTTCATTTCATTACAACTTTTACATTGCAGGGAATTCAAGAGCAATAAAAACTGGCTCAATTTGAGTGGAACATTTTTCCCTACAAAAAGCTTAATAGGTATATGGTTAACATCAGGGTAATCAGCATGATTAAAATTCACAATGGTTTTTATTGTGTATTAGAAGAAAAAGTTTTCCTGAATATCAGTAACCAAAAGCATCTGTAATAATCTAAAGGTTATCTTACTCCTCATACTTGGCTTTAAGTGTGATCAGTTCTTCACCAGCTTTCTCCTCACTCTTAGTCTTCTTTTCAAGTTCTTCACTCAGTGTAGTTACTCTTGATTCATGCCTAAAAGAGAAAAAGTGGTTTAATTTGTGTTTATGTTGTTTCCTGGGTGCAGCTATAAAAGAATGAGTCTCTTAATGAGTCTATTGGGTGTCCCAAAAAATGAGCCACTTTTTGACAAGTATTATCTCGGTATAATCTCTTCATTTTTTTGGAACACATGATATAATATAGAATAAAGATCTGGCAATTGCCAATATCATAAGATTAGAATATGACAGAGCTTGACTGCCCAAAATCGAATTAGTTCTATATTGTTTGAAAAATTTCTGATCAATCCTTAATTCTGAATCATTATTTTCTGGAAACACAGAGGCATACGTGAGATGCTTTCACTCATCATCCATGGTATGATAAAAACTGTTCAAAATTCGATATTCTAGTATAACAGATATTTAGAACCAGACAACAGGAGTTTTCAGCATCTCAGTTACAGTAAGACAGCTATACTCAACACTGAATTACAATACAGTCAGTATTTGTGTAACATATTAAAATAATCAGCTGACCCAGATTGAAAGTTAATGGCATTTGGCCATGACACTTCACCATGTTTTGTTGTATCCAAAACATTCCATCACTTATGAAAATATGAAATATCATACCTTTCAATGACAATTCTAAGTTCCGCAATGAAAATATGAAATATCATACCTTTCAATGTCAGTTTTAAATTCTGCAATCTCACTTTTCAGCCTTGCTTCTAATTGTTCAAACTCTATAGACTTAGATTCAAGCTCTGCTTTTAGATTGTGGAGCTCCTCCGAGTTCTCGTCTTCCAAATGGCCAAACCTTGATGTATCCTGTTCGTGTTCTATGGTCAGTCTTTCAACTTGAGAATCCAAATCACGATTTTCCTTTTCTAGTTCCTCGATACGTTGATTTGATTGCGATAGATTTTTCCGTAAATTTTCCTCTTCATTGTCAATTTTAAGTTTCTCCATCATAAGACTGACAAATTTTTCATGCTCTTCATCGAGTTCAAGGGTAAGCTTCTCAACCAGGGCATCTAGGTTCTTATTGGAGGATTCAGACTCAGATTTAGCAGTTTCTAGATCCTCAAGTTGAGCTTCGTATTGGATGAGTGTTTCCTTCATTGATTGGCACTCAGTTTTGACAGTTTCTAGTTCCTCTTGAGTAACTCTTACATCAGCTTCATCCAAGTCTATGTTGTTCTCTTGTTCAGTCATTAGTTCATCTATTTCTGTTTTCAGTTTACTGTTCTCAAATGTTAGGTTCAAAATCGTGTCTTCTGCCTCCAAGAGATTTGCTTTAACCGTTTCCATCTCGCTCTGAAACATTTAGCATACAGGAGGAATTATTCATTGTTTCTGTTTGAATCAATACAACCTCAACAATGTAATAAAAATTCAATTGAAGTTAGATCTGTAATATATAAGTTACCCTGTTCTCTGTCAGAGTTTTCAAAAAAGAGGGTGTAGGTTTCTCATTTTACAGTGCTGAAAATCATTGACAAGTGTTACACCAAAATTTTCAAACTCCCAAAAGGGCACATTCACAAGTACAGTGCTGTCGAGGGTTTACAAATTAATACAGAAGTAAGTCTATTTTCAAAATCTCTAGTGTATACATCGCCCCAGTGCTTGCTTTAATGCTAAGGGGAACCCACTGCATTTATGTTCTGACAGGCCATGCATAATAAAATAGTTTCTTACAAGAGTTTCCTTCTGTTGGTCAACTTCACTGGTCAGTTGTTCTACATTGGCTTCAAGCTTTTTCACATTGGCATGTAGATCTTCAATCTCAGCCTGAAATACAATTAAATCAAGTCTGAGTTCAGTTACAGAGGGAATATTCAAGACCACAGTTCCTTGCTCACAGACATCAAATGACTCAGATTTAAAAGGCTCTTCACAATTAACTAAAGTAGGAAGTGACTTTTAATTAGAAAAATGTTCAATTAAATTTTGAGATGAGCTTTTATATAAAATTATCTAATTTGTCAGATGACAGAGAAATCTATGGCCCCTTCAGTACTAAAGTTCAACTTCCACATCTAAAAAATATCTAGCTATTGATATTCTTGCTTGCACATACCTTTTCAATTTCCAGCATTTTCAGAAGTTCTACATTAGAGCTCTGTAATTCAGATCTCTCTTGTTTAGTCTCAATGTGGCTTTGTTTGATTGCTTCTATTTCACTTTTAAGTGTTTTCTCTTGCTGTTTCAGTTCTTGTTCTGCTACATCTAAAACAAGATGATCAATTTGTAACGCTTTCTCACTTTGATTGGAGATTTACTAATGAAATGTACAAAGGAGGTATTCATATTGAATAGTTTTCACGTACAGTATACTTTTATACTCAACTTGGCAAGTAAATACTATAAAGGGGAGAACTAATCCCTAGATGACCAAAATTCTACATGTTCATGAGCACCATAGTTCTACATGTTCATAAACACCATAGTTCTAAATGTTCATGAACACCATAGTTCTACATGTTCATGAACACCATAATTCTACATGTTCATGAACACCATAATTCTACATGTTCATGAACACCATAATTCTACATGTTCATGAACACCATACTTCTACATATTCATGAACACCATAATTCTACATGTTCATGAACATCATAATTCTACATGTTCATGAACACCATAATTCTACATGTTCATGAACACCATAATTCTACATATTCATGAACACCATAATTCTACATGTTCATGAACACCATAATTCTACATGTTCATGAACACCATAATTCTACATGTTCATGAACACCATAATTCTACATGTTCATGAACATCATAATTCTACATGTTCATGAACACCATAATTCTACATGTTCATGAACACCATACAGGGCTCTCACCAGGAAATATTTAGGGTGTGGTGCTAAAATCTTCAGATTAACGGTTCAATCGTGATAAATCATTTTTATGTTATGTTTTATCCTTTTTACATGCTATTATTGTATATTCAGTCAAGTTTAGACTGTGGAAACAGTCATGATTTGCCAATAGGGTGTGGAGGGAGCTAAATAGAGTGTGGTGCTGCGCCACAGTCTAAAAGCCTGGCGAGAGGCCTGCCATAATTCCACATGTTCATGTACAGGTTCTCTTAAAAATGTGTAGTTAAGCTAAATCTCTTAAAGTCTTGCCAGGAATGAATTAAATGCATACTCACTCAGGTTGCTTTCAAACACCTGGCACTTGTTGGACAGGTTCACAATATTCTCATTGAGCACTTGTTCATGTCTGCAAATATATATGCATTTGGGTTAGAATACCAATTTCTCAGGCCCTTCCTCATAACAACCCTCTGGTATCCCTACCATTTTAAACAAATGCATATGAAATTACAATGTAATAATGAAAGTGTTATTCATATAACTATGTGTTTTTAAATAGATTCTTTAGTCTACCAGCAAAATATAACAAAAGCAATAACCTGAAAAGTCTATTGAGCTACTCATATGTATGGAAGTGCTCACAAGAACATAAAGGGAACTGATCTCACAACGATACTCCTGATGTCATATGTATGGAAATGCACATAAGAATAAGAGGGAACTGATCTCACAATGATACCCCTGATGTCATATGTATGGAAATGCACTCAAGAATAAGAGGGAACTGATATCACAATGATACCCCTGATGTCATATGTATGGAAATGCACACAAGAATAAGAGGGAACTGATCTCACAATGATACCCCTGATGTCATATGTATGGAAATGCACACAAGAATAAGAGGGAACTGATCTCACAATGATACCCCTGATGTCATATGTATGGAAATGCACTCAAGAATAAGAGGGAACTGATCTCACAATGATACCCCTGATGTCATATGTATGGAAATGCACACAAGAATAAGAGGGAACTGATCTCACAATGATACCCCTGATGTCATATGTATGGAAATGCACACAAGAATAAGAGGGAACTGATCTCACAATGATACCCCTGATGTCATATGTATGGAAATGCACTCAAGAATAAGAGGGAACTGATCTCACAACGATACCCCTGATGTCATATGTATGGAAATGCACACAAGAATAAGAGGAAACTGATCTCACAATGATACCCCTGATGTCAAATGTATGGAAATGCACTCAAGAATAAGAGGGAACTGATCTCACAATGATACCCCTGATGTCATATGTATGGAAATGCACACAAGAATAAGAGGGAACTGATCTCACAATGATACCCCTGATGTCATATGTATGGAAATGCACTCAAGAATAAGAGGGAACTGATCTCACAACGATACCCCTGATGTCATATGTATGGAAATGCACACAAGAATAAGAGGGAACTGATCTCACAATGATACCCCTGATGTCAAATGTATGGAAATGCACTCAAGAATAAGAGGGAACTGTTCTCACAACGATACCCCTGATGTCATATGTATGGAAATGCACACAAGAATAAGAGGGAACTGATCTCACAATGATACCCCTGATCTCATATGTATGGAAATGCACACAGAGCAGTGCATTTAATTACCTCCTGAATTATAAAAGATATTTCTGTCACAAATATGTTGATATCTTCACGTGCACTATTAATTATATTAATGCATGCCACACTTGTGCACAATATTACAAATATGCAATACACATTCTTTCATTGAGCCACTGCAATCATGTACTTATTTTCTTTCATTCTCTTGTCTATTCTCTTTGATAAAGTAAACTTATACACATGTGGGTTCTACTGGGAGCTTAAACTCTATGTAAAATTATATCCATGACCATAAAGAGTAATATAATACCAGTCATAGTATACTCAAAGAAGACACTATATTGATAGTAGATCCTAATGATAATTCACTTCTAGATTTCACTTACGGTCTATCAGCAAGTTGAAATGCTTTGGGATCAATTTTTTAAATGTTTTTTTTTTCAATTTTTTTAACTGGGCTAAAAGCTTTAACAAGGCATCAACTAGGTGGGTTTTAGGGTCCAACTTGGTGCAGTGCAGTGCCTGGTAAAGAGGGTCTGAGATAATAGTTCTATGTGCTAAGTTCAAGCTTTTTTATCCTTACATATTCACATATAAATACACTGGCTCTTCTTTATGGTTAAACGATACTATCAACAACATTCCTTGAATGAAATATACAGTAAAACCTGTATATTCGAACACCTCTCAAATCTGAACAGCTTCCAATGAGAACACCTTTTCAGTCCCATTTTCCTCAATGTTAAGTAAAGCCTATCCAATGTGATCATTTTTTCATAATATGATACAGAATTGCTTCAATACTATGCTGTTTTATGTCAGTTTTTAAGTTCAAACATTGTTCCATGAAAGGTGTCAATCGTAATTTGGCTTTAGTAATGAATTAATCTGAATGAGATGATTTTGTACATTCATATTATTGGTATACCAATGTTGAGGTCAATCAAACTTTTAAAGATTTATTTAGAGCGCTCACATTTCTTTAACAAACTGACAACAATATCGTATATGTTTTAGGTATGATAAAAACCTGAATCCTGCAATTTCAAAACCTCCAAATGTGAACATGTTTATCAAAAAACTTTAGCCAGTGAGTCCCAATGACATATTCAAATCAGATAATACAGGTTTCCCTGTAAACATGTTATTTATGATACTGATATGTTCAAACTTTACAGACCAACGAAACAATATGCTTTATAGATTAAATTATGTATGTGCCGACAATCCTGATATAAACCTTAACTCCCAAAATGTTATGAGAAGCATTTCCATTAGCAATTATGCTATTTTGCTAATCAGAATAAATATAGTACATGTATTATAAAAAAAAACTTTAGCCAGTGGGTCCCAATGACATATTCAGATGAGATAATACAGGTTTCCCTGTAAACATGTTATTTGAACAATGAAATAACAACTGAGGTAAATTAAGGTGACACAGTTTATTTGACATTTTATCATCTAGGTCTGACATGTTTACAAGGACTATCTATTTCTTGTTACTGAGGTCAAAGTACGAGATGATTGTAAAATAAAAGGAGATATATAGAAAGCAATTACACAGTAGGCTAAGTGTTGTACAAATTTATTTTTACTGGTTTCTTTCTTTTTACCAATTCTGTTCAACTGAAAGAGGTTTTCTCAACTTGCATCTACAAAAATGCGTTTTTCTTCATTGCGATAGCCATTATAAAAGAAATGTTAGAATAACTGTTCATGGTCATAAAAATGTAATAAAATGAACTGATCAATCCGATTGGCTCCCACGTGATTAGTAATGTCATACATAATATATAGTTTTGGTTTATTGGTTCCTTGGTAATCACAACGTCACGGCAACTATATGATTGTTGTGAAAACAAATACCAGAACATCTTGGCATAATGACGACATGATTTAATGGACCAAAGCGGGACACGTGGGGACCAGTGAGAGATCACGTGGGGGCCAATAACGTCACAACGTATTTGAATATTGCTTATTAAGCAGCTATAATGATCGTTAGAGTGAAATAATTTTTACAATACTTATGAGAAAACATGTCCAAATACATTTATCAAAAAATTCTATTGATTGCTTACCCCCCTATCACACCAAACTAGTTCTTACCCGTTCTTGCCAGTCCTACGAAAATGTCGGATATATGTCTAAAATAATTAGCTACTTCGTTCATAAACAGTCTTCAATACGTCCATCACGTTCGCAGTTCGTTCAGGTCGCACCACGTCGGTGTGCAACGTAGTATAAACCGTCCCTCAGTCTAGAAGGTCATCATGATCTGATTACAGAACGGTATGGTCGCCATTGAATTTTGAATTGATTCAAAATTCTAAATCACATACCCCGTCCGGGAAAGTCCATGAAGTTCGTAAACAGAACATAGAACGTTGTAGCTACGTTCATTCAGTTCGCACAGTTTAAAACCAATTCGGCAACGTTTTGATGATTACCAGAAAATGTTGAGCATGTTCTAAGTGCTGGAGGATTTACTCGTTCTAGTAGTTTCATGAAGTTTGTAAACAGATCCCAAACGGTTCTTAGTGGGTTCTTAGTACGTCAAATCCGTTCATGCACAGTTTAAGCCCGTTTTCGAGAACGTAGTGAGAACTCGTTTGGTGTGATAGTAGGGTTAAGGTCAAAAATACCATTTCATATCTGCTTTAATTCTTCCCAAAACTGTCCATTTTTTCAGAAATGTTTACACTGGGTGCTTTTAGATTTTCAATTGAGGCATTTTGAGAATAAAGGTACAGTAATCATAATAGTCTAGGATAGATGGCAGCACTCAAGTAAGCAAAAGCTGCAAACAAAGGCTCTGATAAAAAAGTCAGATTTTGGTGGATATAATGATCATCAATCATAAATAAGTGTTTTAAAATGTAAACAAACACACTTGGGATATATTCAGAGAACATTACTGGAAATAATTGGATATAAACAGTGTTATTGACTCAATCAGGGAGTAAATTTTGAATTTGATAAAAATTCATATTGAACAGCCATATTGTATTGGATATGTACACTCAACAAACTGTAAGTACATTTAAAATGTGATTTAAAATGAGCAAGACTATTGACTCTTGGTTTCTTCCAATAGATAAGACTCCCAAATCTACTTCTGATAAGAAAAGGCCAAGAAATACCCCTGAGAACATTGACATTGAAAAACGCACAAAACCAAACACTCCAGTGAATTCAGATAGTATTGACTTTAGAACATCTCCCATTCCTAAATATAATATGTCTGAAATACCTGAAAATTCAAATGACTCTGAACCAGCATGGGTTAAAGCGTTACTTATCAAGATGGACAAAATGGCGACAAAAGATGACCTTAATGAACTTGCAACTAAAGCTGACATTAAAGCAATGAACTCTGTTATTGAGGATTTATCGAAGGCATTAACATTCGCCAGTGATGAAATTAATGATTTGAAGGAAGAGAATCAGAAAATGAAACAACTCATCAATAAACAAAGCCAGGAGCTACTGTCTCAGAAAAATGACATTCAAACCCAAAAAGACGCAACGATCAAACTACAGCACATGCAGATGCGTGAGAACATGCTCTTCTTTGGAATTGCAGAAAAGAAAGATGAGACGCAAGAAGAAACCAAAGAAAAACTTTACACCTTTCTCGAAAATGTGATGAAGATAAGTAATCCAAAGGAGACTGTTAAAGTGGACAGAGTACATAGAAACGGCCCAAAGAGAGATGATAAGCGAGAAAGGCCAATAATATGTCATCTGAATCCCTATGATGGAAAACAAGTT